AACCAATACTGCTGAACAGTACTGCTCAGTTAAACTTTTCTTAAGTGGATTACTATTTCTAATTAGGATTAAAGAGTCCGCCCCTACAGGGTCGCAACCATAGCCCGTAAGACGGCGCGTTATTCTTCAAAAGCATTTGCGATAGAGAGAGATTTTTATGAAGCTCTACCGGAATTCCTGGTCACCTAAATGCCGGCGGCTTCCGCTATCTCAACGATGTGCATACCGAAGAACCTCAGGCGCTTCATCCGCCGCCGCCAGACAACGGTAGTTGCACAGGTAGCAAATAAAGTCTATCACCTATACACACACAAAGCAGACAAAGAAAGAACGATTGCAGTCGGTGGCCGCATGATAGCCCGGTTGCCAGGACGTCTTGGGGTGGTGTGTTCGCCAGTCTTTCTCATTGAGGAGCGGCAGTGTGCTGGTCTTCGTGTGGAGGCTTTCCGCCGTTCCCACACACACAGAGACAGACAGACAGAAACAGCCCTGCTCTTCCCTTCCTTGTTTGGAGGAAATCGTCATTGTTGTCCGGCCATCAGGCCGGGGGATGTGAAGAGAACCGAAGTACCTCCAACTGGGTCAGTCCTGCGAACGCTGGCACTGTCAAAAGACTGTGGCTGTGCGGCGCCAATTAATCCTACCTCCTGTTGTCCTCGTTCCGGTGATGATGTTGGTGGTGAGAGAACGAAGTTAGCCTGCAATCAGCGAGGCGTTATCGTTTTGGGTCTTCATGATTTCCGACATTTGCCGATACCCGGTGCGAACAGAGGCAGTAGCATTTTCGATTGTGGACTATTCTTTTTGCCCATAGCACACTGTCCTATTCTTTCATTTTCAATTAGATCTGGAGGACAATATCAAAAAGCTGATTAAGTTGCCTTTGGCCGTCCTATGACTGCCAGCCGACTGACTATGAAAATCACAGATCCAGAAAACGTCGCGTTAGATGAGATTTTTGACTGTTTTTTTCTGCAGCTACTGTTCCTAGCTCGGAAGTATTATCTCTTCAATCACAACCGATTAAGATCGTTGGTATGAGTAGCAGAACAGTTTACAAAAAGATAATATGGACTGAAATGGTCAATTCTGGCTTATTAGTTCTCTGCAGCCAGCCATATCCAAGTCCACGCGTTGTGCCATCCACCTAATTGTTAGAGCACTGAACTTTTAATCAAAGGCCGGGCGGAACGTGTTAGGCTTGTAACCGATCCGTGAGCGTTTATGCACCAATACT